CCATCCGGTAACCGGCAGCGGAGAGGGGTGTAGTGTGTTGGGATCCGGGGCAGAAGGGGAGGGCAGAGCCGGGTTCATCCGTGTCGTGAATGGCTGCACTGTTCCTCCAGGTGAAGGAGAACAACTACCGGGGCCATGGGGACAGCGTGGATCAGCTCTGCTGGCACCCCAGCAACCCTGACCTCTTCGTCACAGCATCGGGGGACAAAACCATCCGCATCTGGGATGTCCGCACTACCAAGTGCATCGCCACTGTCAATACCAAAGGTGAGTCCCTGCCTTCCCGGGAGGGCTCTTGGGTTCCAGCAAGACCTCAGCTGCGTGGGACCCATCTGCAGTGGCACAGTGCTTTGGACCCTTCTTGTGGGTATTTGCTGACTGCTTTTATGTTTGTGCTGCACTCATCTGTAAGGAGCAGCAGTGAGTGTGAGAGCTGATTTACTCTGGTGTCAATACCAGAGAAACTACTGAAATATGATGTTGGCTGTTAAAATGTCCTGTGTGCTTTTTGCTGGAGTCTGAGCTGCAAGGCTGGAGACCAGGGAAAGGTGTGTTTGCAGAGAGCCGTGGTAACAGTAAAAGTTTATGTGGATTCAGAAAACAATTATTTAAACACATGTGCTGGTTAACCCAGATGCCATCTCTGCCCTTTGAAATCTCCAATGTTGAGTTGTTGGGGCTGGAAATGGCATTGTGAAATGGCATAACTGCAGCTTGCGCTGTTCTTACTCTAATTTATAGGTATTTATTGTTGGCTTCTGCCTTTTCTGGATCTCAAAGATCACTGGATTCAGAGGATCTTTGAGCTGGCCTTGTTTGTTGGTTAGTGTGGTTGCATCTTGGCTGAAATGGGAAGGGCAGTGACGAAGTCATGTTGGTTTGAGGCTGCAGTTCTGTTAAGGTTAATTTTCAATAACTCTGCATATTTACTGGACAGCTGCTATGCAGGGTTTGTGTGTTAGACTGCAGACCTGGCAGTCTTTCCCATTTAGTTTGGAGTTAGTGTAGCAGGTTGTGGCCTTGGATCAGAAATAAAAGCTGCCTGTCTGCTTAACTCGTGGCTACTGTGGGCTGTTGGGTGGAAATGGGACCTGCTGCCTTTCTCTCCCTCCAGGGGAGAACATCAACATCTGTTGGAGCCCCGATGGACAGACCATTGCAGTGGGCAACAAGGATGACGTGGTCACTTTCATTGATGCCAAGACACATCGCTCCAAAGCTGAGGAACAGTTCAAGTTCGAGGTGAATGAGATCTCCTGGAACAACGATAACAACATGTTCTTCCTCACTAACGGGAATGGCTGCATCAACATCCTCAGGTAGGCACCCATGGCAGTGAGTGTGTGAGGTAGCTGGGCTGGCTGCGGCAGACATCCTTCTGCAAGCCTCTTTTTGCCTTTGGCGAACCCAAGTCCCAAACCCCAGTGATTCCCAGCCTTTTTGGTGGGAACAAACTTGCCTGGAGCTGGGGTTGCCCCAGTTCTGGGCTGGACTCCCTGAGAATGACCCTGATGCTTTGCCTTATTCACTGGGCACTCAAAATTTTCAAGAGTGTGGCCCTGCACCAGTTTGGTTTAGTCACAGTCTCAACCCTGTCCTGCTTGGTAGGCGAGCCCTGCACTCCTCTTGCTGCTTCCTGCCCTCTTCCTTCATCTCCACAGCTACCCGGAGCTGAAGCCCATTCAGTCCATCAACGCCCATCCTTCAAACTGCATCTGCATCAAGTTCGACCCCATGGGCAAGTACTTTGCCACAGGCAGTGCTGACGCGTTGGTCAGCCTCTGGGACGTGGATGAACTGGTGTGTGTGAGGTGCTTCTCAAGGTAGGCAGTGCTGTCCCGAGGTCGTTTCCCTCCCCTCTCCGGTGGGAGATGGCTCACTGTCTGCTCTGTTGCTGCAGGCTTGATTGGCCCGTGCGAACACTGAGCTTCAGCCACGATGGGAAGATGCTGGCATCGGCGTCAGAAGATCACTTCATTGACATTGCAGAGGTGGAGACAGGTAATGGTTTCCTTTTGGGAAACGGGTGGAGAGAAGTGCTGGTGAAGCTGGGAGCGCACTGGGAGAATCTGCTATGAAGAGCTTGGCTATGCAGAGCAGTGCCGTGAGAGGGAGCCCCTGCCTCGTTAGTCTGTGACAGGCATGCGTGTCATGTCTGTGCCTTGTCACCAGGTGATTAAAAGGCGCTGAAGCAGTGTTTGTTCCTCCTCTGCCCTGTGCGGGAGAAAAGCAGCAGGTGCTTGGCCCCGGTGTGTGCTATGGGGCAGCGAGGGGCTGGAGGCTCTCCAGGCTGACGTGGCCCCTTTTCCATGCAGGAGAGAAGCTCTGGGAAGTGCAGTGCGAGTCCCCCACCTTCACAGTGGCCTGGCACCCGAAGAGGCCGCTGCTGGCCTTCGCCTGTGACGACAAAGATGGCAAATATGACAGCAGCCGGGAGGCAGGCACCGTCAAGCTCTTTGGGCTCCCTAATGACTCCTAATGAGGCCACACCCGGGGAAGCAATTCCCTCCCGTGCGCCTGGGGGTGGGAGAGCTCTGTTAGCGTAGGCTGGGGTAAGGAGATTTTCCTTCCTCGCCTGCTTGGCAGCACTGTGACCTTTGGCTCGGCTCTCAGTGTGTCGCTCTTGGGGGCGTTTGTAAAAAAGCAGCTTGTGTGCTGGGGAGGACGGGGGGTGCTAGCAGAGCCGTTGGCAAGTGGCCAATGAAATTTGGTCACTGAGGTGACTGCTGAGGAGCTTCCTGTGAGAGGAGCTCTGCTCTGGCCGGGCTCCCCAGCAGTGATAAGCTGCGTGACTGTCCCCTTGTCCCCTGTGTCCTGGTGGTGAAGACAGCCCTGGGAGCGCAGCCTGCCCCTTCCCCTCCCAGCATCGTGTGTCCCTTCCCTGCACTGGGGCAGCAAGGGGAGGGTGGGGGAATTGAGCTGAGGGAGTTTCCCCAGCTGAGGTGTTTCTTTTTTTGTACGCGTGGTTGGTTTTTTCTAATTTTGATAAATCCTCTTCTGTAACAAAGGTGCCTGTGGCTGCCGCGGGGGCAGGAGGAGGTGAGGGGGGTGCTGAGCTGCTCTCCTGTGAGCCTCCCCTGTCTCCTTCCCCTTGTCCCCACCGTCCTTGTCCCCTGTCCTGCGCTGTCACCCCACCAGGGGGCGCTACGCCCCCACGCGCAGGACAGTGACAGCTGGGACACGGCGCAGAGATGGGGGACAGCCGCAGGGACCTGTCCCACTCCCATAACCCTGCTCCCGCCTGGCAGCACCCCGTGTGGATGGAGCGGGGCCATGGCCCCAGCAGAAGACACCGCCTGTCCCGTGCAGCAGCCACCGGCCCCGGGCAGAGCCTGTCCTTGCACCCCTGCCAGGGGGGATGAGCAGTGCCTGCCCCATCCCCGCTCCCCAGGGAGAGCTGTGGGGCTTTCTCCCCCCTCTGTCACCATGCTGAGCCACAGGAGGGACGGTTGCTGCAGAGGAGGTGCAGGTGCAGCTGCCTGCAATGGAGACCTTGCCTGCAAGATCTCTATCATTTCCTACCCTCGTATTTTCTTCTGACAGAGGCTTTTCCAGGTGACTGCTCTGCTGATGCCGCCTGGGTAACAGCTGAGCTCTCTGATGGTAAATGATGGCAAATCAGTTGAAGCTGAGGCTGATTCTGGCTGAGGTTTCCAGGGTTGTGCCAGGCTTGGGTGCTGACAGGGGCTCTGCTTTGCTGGGGGGCACAAGGTGTCCCATTGCCCAGGGCCTGCCCATGGTCTTGTGCTCCTGTTCCTGGGGGATCAGAAGGCTGTGGCCCAGCAGAAACACCCCTTGTGCCCCAGAGCCAGGGGGAAGGGGCAGAAGCCTCCCTTGCTGTGTCTGTGGGATGGGGGCCCACCAGCACTCACACCTTGTCCCCAGGCCTGGAGAGGGCGCCTACAGGGCAGATACCAGGGTGTGGGGAGACAGCTGGACCCAGTGGTGCTTTGGGAACTGCCCTGGTGGGCCGTGTGCCCTCCCCATGTGTGATGAGTTGCCAGGTCTCAGCTCTGAGGGGGATGGAGGGGCTAGGGAGCTGGCATGGGGCCCCAGGGAAGCAACGGCTGAGAAGAGGCTGGAGCAATGTACAAATCCCTTTATTTTATTAGTTTGTCAAAGACTAGTTCGAGCAGGATGGTCACAGCATGTCTGCAGGGCCCCGAGCTACCCGCCACCTCCCGAGGAGGGCCCTGGTGAGCAGCTGGGGGCTGTGGCGGAGGAAGCACGGGGAGGGGGGAGAACGGTGCAGCAAGGGACACGGGCTGGGGCGAGGGCGTGCCTCGCGTCCCCCCATTGGGGTGCAAGCAGCGGCTCCTGGGACGTGCCCGGGGCGCTT